TATTTAATAATAGGCGTTAACATATGAATCGCTCTAATATTTCTATATATCGAGATTACAGTTCCTTTACCAAAGTAACTGAAATGTTGAGTTAGAGTTTTAATAACTAATTTCTTAGTTAGAGTTTTAATAACTCATTTTTTAGTTTATTTCAGTTTAATGATTTGCCTTCAATTTATGACAATTTATCTCTTTGGAGATTATGCTATTAGAAGTTATCGTGTTTCAGATAATGAAAGTGCTGTTTTATTAAATCTATGAACTTGTTCAAACATGTTGTAATTGTTTTGTTATTCATAAAGTTGAATTTATCGAATTATTATTTCTGATATGGTGTAAATGCTAATTTTCGTTGAAATTAAGAAACAAAAGGGGGGGGCATCTGACTACGTTTTATGTTTAATAGCGTAAGGTTTAGCCGTTGTTGTTATCAAGAAGACGATTTTTGGAGTATTTTCTATATAATGAAAAAAAAACAAGTTTGCCCAAGGGCTATAATTTTAACAAACTTGAACTTTTAAATGATGCAGACAAATGCAATATCAATTTAATGTAGAGACAATATCTTGTTATTAGCCATCAACTCTAATGGTTTTATTTTATACATTGTTGAATGCAATACTGGCCGCAATTAGACTAGTATTCAGCTGTAGAAAAATATATTGGGTCAAATATAGACTTTGCACATTTCAAAAATAAACAAAAGGAAAAAATACAACATTTGTTATATCAGAAAACGTTCGTAGAAGGATAAGACACTAAAATTAAGTTGTTTTTTTTTTTTTTTTTTTTCGATCTAAGCATTTTAATTCTTCAGATTTAACTGATAGCTTCGTCTGTTTTGGCGGGAAATATATTCTTATTTACAACAAAAAATAAATAATGCGAAGTTTCTGTTTGTATATATTCGTTGTTGTTGTTGTTGTTGTTGTTGTTGTTGTTGTTTTCGTGTTGATGTAGTGTGCAAACAATTACTACTTTATGTTCTTTGTAAATATTCTATCACGTAACAATTGTTTTATATCAACTGTATCGGAGCTTGGTTCAAACGTCTGAAACCAGTAAATATTCAAATGTTTTATTAATTTAAAAAGAGATAGTCTTAACACCGAATAGAACGCTATTATAGTTTAAAATCTATCAAACTAGAAAACTTGTTTATAAACTTTTTTTCAAAGATGTGTACGTTATCATTATGAAAGATACATAACATACATTTTCATTTCAGTTATGTATTTGAAGATAATGAATATCCTTGAATCAAAGGGTAAACGAGGGATGATCCAGAGTGACCCAAACACATGTGTAGTTTAAATTAATATGTAAAATAATAAATACAAAATCCCTAAAGAAAGCCCAACAGCCTTTTCATGGACGGTACTGGAAAGTGCAAGTTACCTTCTACGCCCCCTAGCACCGGCTTAAGCAGAATTTAACATTTAAACATGAAATAGTAAATTTTGAATTTTGAATCATCCGCAGATGTGTTCATACGGCGGTTATCATGGAACCTTCAATGTGACACTTCAATGTAAACCATACATTAAAAAACACAACGTACAATTAATAAGATATGAGACAACTATAATATATTTAGTATAATGTGCAAACGTGTCATGCGATTCTATAACCATAGTAATACATATGCGGCACACGCAGATTTTGCGACAGTTTTTAGGTTAAATAAATCCTAAGTGAAGATAAAATACACATAAAAACAAAACGCAAAATAAAGCCTCATCAGCTCGATGGTGCTATTATATCAAACGTTAATGTAATCTGAATGTTGCAATTTAATAAAAACAGTATTTATAGTGCGGTGTAACCATTGTTTCTAGCTAAGAAATGGCGTATAATGACTAGCGGAAATCCATATAATATTTAAGTTATGTATATGTAATTGTATTGTACAAATAACATAATAAACGCTTAAGATGGTTAATAAAACTAACTGGGAATATCCAGAGCACAGGGAAGTGAAACAATACCGGTTTTATGACAACTAAAACATTGCAGAAGGGTATAATTCCGCGTAAGACAGTCAGACAGAATATGACATTAATTTCGATTTGTTGCACAGGAAGAAAATGAGTGAGCGCTTTGGCTTCATACATTGAAAACCTTTTTAAGAAAATGTCAAAATATAATAATGTCACTTAAGGTAATTTTGAAATATCATATAATTCTGTATATGTCTTCAATATTCAATCATAAACTATTTAATTACTACAGCAAATCTACATAAGGAGTGTACAGTGTGTCGACAAAATTATTTGCGACTTTGGCTTACTTGTGTTTGAAATTTCTTTAATTCGCTTTATATATTAAACTTTAGGTTTCACACTATCTATAATCTATAACATTAATGTTATGCATACAATATACATAAATTAATACGTATTCTCCTCACATGACGTCGGGTTATGCCATAAATTCATCCATGAAGAAACAACATAGTAAATACTGATCATACACCTCATGAGCTATGTAGAGTAATAGTAAAAATGTCGCATTGAATGACCAGCGACGTTTTAAAGACGTATTTCAACACTATACACATTGCAATGAAAATAACTCAAATTAATTTGAATAAAAACCTGAGTGAACAGATAGTAGTCTGTTTCACATGTCGCCTTTTAGTAAACGGCGTCTAAAACAACTATGCAAGTGACGTTATGAAATGTGCTACGACGTTCGCCGGGTAGGCCGCATTGACAATTTTGTTGTGTATGTAGTTTTTCAATTACTAGTTATTATGGCTTATATATTGTAAAAAGATGCTGGACGTTATTAAATACATGATGGCATTATATTGTTGAACCCTATATCATTTGCGTTTTTATTGATCATCTCTCGTATAATATAAAATCACTGATCTAGTCTGACTTTATTTCAAAATAAACCATTTAATTTCAAGACTTGAACAAAAACGATAATTGGTACGTTTACGGTAAAGATAACAGTAAGTTTACTATTTTTAGCACATTTATTAAAACCGTAACTGTGTTTATCTCATAAAGATGTGTGTTCATGTATATACTCAAATGTATCGGAAGGTCTTACATGAAATAACATATTTCAAAATGTATTTGATGCAAATGATAAAAATACAGTTTCAACAAATTAAATTATTTAATTATACTGCATTTTAAGAATATTCGGATATACAAAAAAGATATTTATCCCAAATAAATTGTTGAATATATTTCTACCTTACTTAATAAAAAGACTTAGTTTAACATTTACAACATACATTAGAAGTAAAATGTGGTTGTTAAGATTTTTGGAAACAAAAACTGTCCGTTTATTATGCAAAACATTCGTACGTTAAATAATCCGGATGATGACGGTACAGGATATTTATAGAACATATGTGCAATTCATTGTCGTCAATTATTAAATAAATGAAAAAACAACAACAAAAAACAAGAAACTATTTTAGATGATAGTGAATGAATTGAGTCTATTAAAAATTGACATAATATTATGGTGAATCATTATTGAATGCAAGCATCCATTGCATAGACCTTTCTGTAGAAAATTAGCGAGTGATCTAGAAACTTTGTCCACATAATGTATTTCACATATGGTAAAATCAATGTACGAGTATATAACTAAGATATATTTAATGTAATAGTTAAACCCTGAGTTGCAAACAAACCTGACACACTATAATTTACCATAAACCAACAATCCTTCCAGCGTGCAAAGTATAACTAGAGTTTGACAGTATCGTAATAAAAATATTGTTGTCAATGAAAAGGCATTGTCATTGTCATTTATTTAACCAAGAGGAACTTAATATTACACAAAATAGACAGTAACAGACTAGAAAATTAGAATAATTATAACAAACCTTAGCAAAGGTTGAAATATTATAATTCTTCTATATATTTTTTTATTTTTCTTGCTGATTTGAAGGTACAGCATGTCCTTCTAAAATACCTTTCGGCATGTGATATGAAAACGATGATTAAGTTAGAATTTCATTTTAGTTAAAGACTTTGAATAAGGAGGACGAACAGCTAAATTATTTGTTCAAATAATGGTGAATTATAATGTTTACGAGTAAATAATTACTAAAACGGTTCATTAAAACTATAACTATGTTCCTATTATTTGCATGAACTTACATGTTATGTATCAGCAGAACTTCACTTAAGATATTTTTTATCAATAAAACATTTGATGAAGATGATAACATATATTGCTTCAGCATTTCTTTTTGCAATCATACTGATTTCCATTTGAAGAACATTATTTGGAGTCAGATAGAAATACCGCTTAAATGTAACCGTAGAATACTTTTTATATGATGGACACAATTTAACATTTAAAACAAACATTTGATAATATGGAATTGTAAAATTTCATGTGAAATGTATATACGTTGATAAAATGATTTGCAAAATTTCCACAACACAATGTATATAAAATCTCATGAAAATAACAATCGCCATGATCGAGCGATATAATTCACTGAATATCTAGATAAAACAATATATTAAAAGAAAGAAAAAATATATTTATTTATTGTTCGGAACTTGGATGCATCTCCTGTGAAACGTTTATAAATAAATCATTTAAATACTATATTACATACTATACTTTTAATACATGAACATGTTTTTATTTGGCAAACGTTTTGCCAGCCACTCTTTATTTGTTTTACTTTAAAAAAACGTCTCTAATTAGAATATCAAGAAACGAACTTTTAGACATGATTTCAAGCATTCAATAGGTCATCTTTATTTCTTGTGGAATCACGTAAACATTGCATTTCCGTATGTGTGTACGCATAAGAGACTAACAATATGAAAACGGCGCAAGTAATAAAATATGTATGTAATTGACCTTGTTTTAAAGATTTCGAAGCATTGGGGTCTAGAAAGAACTTTGCTTAGTTATATATTTATATAATATTCTATTCCGTTCAATCGCATACATATTTAAAAGCGACGGTAATAGTATATTTTCACAATAAAGCAATAAACACATACTGGCCATCTGAATGGTATCCATAGGAATCTTTTCCTAATCCAGATAGAAGATTATTTGGATAGTCATCCGGTACCACACCGATAGCTAAAATGAAATTATATTGTATATGTTATTTTATTGTTAAAGTCAACGAAGAGTCATCCCATTTTATAAGTATTAAAGATCTTTTGGATAGTCATCCGGTACCACACCGATAGCTAGAATGAACTTATATGTATGTGTTATTATATTGTAAAAGTCAATGAAGAGTCATCCCATTTTATAAGTTTTAAACTTAAAATGAGAACAAAATAAATCAATCAATCAAATAATAAATAAAAAAAACAATAAGTAAATAAATTAATTAATTTATAAATAAATAAATAAATAAATGAAACATAAATAAATTAATTAAGTAAACCTTAGATGGTTTACGTATACTGTAAGACACATTTATTTAACGTAATTAATGATTAATTGAATATGTAATAAAAAAAAGATCCACCATGTTCCTTGTAAACTAATCATTTTGATACTTTGATAATCAGAAAAAAAATATTATTAATAAAAAATAAAACAAACTTATATACTTCAAAATGTGCTTGTTATGTATTGATGGCAGATCATAAATCATTTTTCAGAATTTATTTAATTTTACCGATGAAATATGGTGCTATATCAATCATATACAGTTCATATTTTTTAAAAATAAATATGAAATATAATCATGAAAGTGTGCGGAGTCAAAATTCATATTTATTTTAAGGGACGTCTTTCGCCATTTTGTTTGAAAATCTGATAAATACGAAACAACTTTTTGTTGAATTTTGTTTTGAAAACTATCTAGAATTATAGAAAATGGTCAAACTAAGAAAATAAATCCAAACACCAATATCTTTAATTCAGTCGTAAACGCTGTTCAGACGTTTAAAGAGTTGTTTACGTGACGTCATAATGTAGCGCCAAATATCGCATGCAAAACAAGATGCATCTATAAATAATATATTACTGCGCGCTGTACAATTGCAGCAAGCAACCATTTTCTTTGACAATGAAATTAAATAAAAAGGTTATTTTGTCGTTTGTCGTGAAATAATGTATATATTTTCCACCAACATGATACGATGCTACATATTTTCACTCGCCGTCACGGCTCGTGAAAATATGTGGCATTTGTTCATGTTTCGTGCAAATATATTCTATATTTCACTCAAAAGAAAAAATATCCTCTTAGTACTTACAGATGAAAATGAATATTTAACTTAATACTCTTTCATATATTTATATTATAGTATCATATTTCAAAATAACATTCATTTTTGGTTGGTTCATGACGATAAGGTATCGCTGGATTTTAACATAAACATGATATGCTCAAAAGTCTATCTGAAGGTAATGAGGATTTTGACGACTCTTCTTTAATTCCTTAAGCAGTATCATGGTACAAAAACTAATTATGGTTAAACACTTGACTCAAGTTACATTTGATCATCAATAATAGCGTGTAAACTGTTACCTATACCTCCGCCTCTACCAATGCTCACAATCTCGATTTCAAAAATATCTAAATGATCAACTAAGTGGGTGTCAATAAACAGACCAAGGTGACCGCTTGCTTTTTCAACATAACTGAAAAACAATTTTCACTTGTACTTATCCAAATAATACAGTTTTCTTTTAATCACAAGACAATTTTTAACCTATTAAATCTAAATTTCACAAAACATTTTTTACATAATGCATATACATTACAAAGTCCAATGAATTGAAGATATTGCATATAAATTATAAATATTAAGTTATTGTGAAAAAAAATTGTTTTATGTCACCTGATAATGTCTCCGTCAATGATGAGGTTTTTGCAAACAAATTGTCTGTCCAGCAATGGCTGAAAACAAAATTATAACGCGAAATTAGTAATTATTAATTGTATAATTTTTAAATTCAAGACACTTTACATTTACAACATATACTGATATCGTGATATTTAGATTTGTCGTTTGGAAAAATACAAATAAAAGTTGCAAACACACTCAGATAATATAGGGTACTTACTTGATCTGTTGGTGAACATAGAGCCTTTGTCAATGGTGTTGCTCTGTTTGCTTTTACAGTTTCTTCTCTAAGTGCTGATTTATGAAACAAGAAGAGAAGCAAAATAAAATACAGGAGTTTACGAAATTATTATAAAAACGAGAATTAACACAAAGGATAAGAAGCCACTGTATAACATGTATTACATTTAAAAAATCCTTTATATTAACCATAAATGAATATAACAAATGCAACTTCTTAGGACATGTTTTATATTATGAGAATGTTTTATATTAGGCGTTGAATTGATATGACACACATAATAAGTATAAAATGGTTATCTTGTTTGTATCATCAAAACTACTTCGAAAGTTATAAACTTACCTGCACCAGATTCGTTTGGCTTATGCAACACTCCTAGTTGTTTACAAGTTTTCATCAACTGTTCGAGATTACAGTCAGACACGAAGTCGTACATTTCAATCGTATTGTTCGTTTTGATTCTTTCTAGCTGGTTTCGGACGAGATGAAGATTTTGTCTGTATGACAAGGAACTGATGAACATTTTGTAAGGCTGATCAGCTTCTAATTGTAGTGTGTCTCTCATACCATTTGTTTCATCAACTAGGTTTTTATTCTCTTTTTCTAGATTTTCGATCTTTTTCATGTCTGCTGCCATGATATCATCTCCATATTTCAGCATTTCATCAGACAGTTTCGTGATATGTGCAATCATTTCATCCCGGAATGATTTGACGTCAAGAGCAAATTTTTTGTTGACATCTTTTACATGGTCCTTGTTGCTTCTGATGCGTCCTAATATAGTTTCTGCTTCATCGTCAAACTTCTCTATGTCCTTCTTAATTTTTGTGAACTCTTTACTGTCTTTATATCCATCGATGTGTTCAAGTATATACTCCACTTTACAGGTTTTATGGGACATTACCATACAATCGCCACAACCTACTTGGTCATGTTCGGGACAGAAAAACTTAATATCTTCGTTGAGATGTTTTATACAATTATCGAATTTTGGTGTTTCTTTGCTTTTTGATCTAGCCTCGACTGATTGGACAAGCTTATGTCCCTGGTTAAGCTTGAATTGTTTGTGTGTATCAAAACATCTTTGACACATTTCTTCTGCACATTGTGAACAGAAACCATCCGAGTATGTTGACGTCTTAAGTCGCTCACAAGGTTTACAATAATTACGAAGTCTCTTGCCAGATACCTCCATTTTTCAGTTGTTGTATTATCTGAAATTTAGTATTAATCATTTACTTTTTAGAATTGATTGAATAACATATAAAAAATAATGTTAAAAATCATTATTGAATACAAATATAACAATTACTTAGTAACAGTTTAAGCTAAATTATTTTGATAGAATAGAAAATGGTGATATTCTAGCAGAATATTTGTAAACATATTATTTGCATTATTTACCTACTTTAAGTTAACACGCACAGAGTATGAATTTAATTTTGAACGTGTTTGCATGGGCCTTTATATTCTTTATTGATGTGAAACATAGGGGAAACATTCGAGAAGGATACGATATCACGGTTAAATGTACTTGCGATATCACGGTTAAATGTACTTGCCTAATTTTGAGACCCTAAAGTAAAAGCTTAGTATATCATCCTTAACTTTTAAGCGGGTTTACACATATGTTAATGCATGCGTGGATGTTATTCACGAATATTAAAACGTGTTTAGTTGATTTTTTTCAGGGTAAGTTACCAACTTTTTTATGTTCATCTAGTTACAGATAGTTGGCTATTTTAGTTCATGTATTTGATATAGAGACAAAATATGCATACTATATCAATCCATTTATAAATAATTTAATTGTCGCGCATTGTATGTATAGGTAAGACTTTAGTAGCATTCCCGTTTATATTTTAGAACACTTGTTTAGAAATGTCATGCTTATATAGTTTTTTATTGAACCGTGTTCTTTTCAAACTATTTAACTGTTGTAATAAAAAAGTAATATAAACATAATGAATGGTTTTTCGTTTGTCTCACGTATAACAGATAGTTACATGTTTCAGTGACAAAACTAGTGATTTAACTCAAATTATTATATTTTAGAACTTCTATAAAAGAAAAATGCACAATCTCTATCGCTGAGAATTTCTAAATAAAACATATTGTCTTTTATACTGTAGTTGATATAGTTTGTAACTTGCGCTTTCTTTAATGATTGCTATTCCTATGATCTTAGAATACATTTAATTAATACAATAATATTATTGACGACTCTTGAGTAACAAAAAGTATCAATCAATGTTACAAATATTAATACTATTTACAAAAACATCTATTCAAAGCAATCAGGTTATAAAGGTCGCTATGTCATTGTCTGTAAAGCCAAATTATACTGTCAACTATGCATATGTTTAGTGGAAACCGGTATTCCATATTTACATCATATTATTGACATCTAAATATATATACAAAACATTACCGTCATATTAACCAATAATTCCGAATCCTTTTGTTTGTATGGACTATCGGATATGTAAGAGTCAAATTCAAAATCATAGTAATAATAATAGGTATGAATATATAGTTTTCATTTTCATCAATAATGAAATCAGATATTTTCAACATGAACTTATTTATCTGTCACACAAATTCCTTGAACTTAAAATGAAAGTCATCAATGTATTTAATTTAGTAATTTATAACATAATACACTCAAACTTTCAGGGAGAAATGTATTATTTTCAAAACGTCGTTATCTGACATTGTATAAGCTTAAGATATTTGGTAAAATATATGAATTTGTTAATCTTTTTGCAAAATGACTCGCTTTTGTCGAACATATCAAATTCGCTCAAATATTGTCTAACTGATACCTATAGATCATTGTTTGATCTGGGTACACATATTCTCGTTTTTCAACATTTATGAATGAAAGGAACTTATATACTCACAACGACAAATATCGTAAATTATAGCATTGATAGTTAAAGACTGATTCAAATCTCAAATAAATGAGCACAAAAACAGTATAGTAAGATTAGTTCAATTTAAATTAATTTGCATTTTGAAATATAATATATGTTCACTATACGTATTACCTTACCTTGACCTTTCATTATTCAACCAAAACCCGATATATTTGAAGATCGAAATGACTTTTACTGTTTCTTTGTATGAATGTTTGAAGCACACTGTTTTTTTAATAAAGTAAATTTTGTTAATTAACTGTTTATATCCTTATCCTTTGAACAAGTTGCTATTTTGTATTGCTTACACTATTTGTCGTAATATTTTCTGGTTGATTAACTTTGATAAAAGTGTATATCTCTGTGTATGACATTTGTGATTTTCAAACAAAAATATAAGAAAGTGAAAGTACATAAATGTTACAATTTATTAACAAATGTGTAAAGATTTCTCATATAACTGAAACATTAAATTTGAGTTTCTTTTCATAATATTTACAAAAATCGTCGAAACACAAGGTAATCTATGTGTAAAGAACATTACTGACGACACTTTTTTCTTGAACTATGTCTTCTGAAATCTACCATAAGAGTTATATACCTGATAACTTAAAACGGCATAATGTACTAATTTCAAAACATTGAAACTGTTTTTTTGTAAAATTTGTGAAATTGAATAAGGACAATTATGTATTTTAATGTTAATCTTACGCTTGAAACTCATAATATATTGTTTCATAACGTAACACAGTCAATATAAATCAAGTAACAAGATTACCATATGCCAACTGGCATTCTCTTTTCATTATTTCAAATTTGCACGATGTTTGCATAAATACAGTTTAAAATGAACGTTGGTAATTGGACAGTTTATATACATGTATGCTGTTTGATGTACGCAATGAAGTACTAAAATAAACCAAATTCCTTCAAATAACTAAAGTGTTTTTCACAAACGTATATGTTCAGGTAGTTAAATGTATCAATGGTATAAAAACGACCTCATGTATTATTATAATAATATTGATTCAATAGGAAGGTGTGTGGTTGAAACAATTTTTTATAAAACTTATTAGCTAAAGATACTTTAGCGAACAGGTTTCATAGTACTGCTAGACCTGTTCGCTGAAGCCAAAAGCTATTTTAATACTGGTAGTTAAATATATTTGGGACACTTCAGTCTATATTTTTGAACACTGAACGTTAGATTGATGAAATAATGCCTCAAAGTTTATCAATGGGTTCACATTTCATAAAATGGGCCGTCATTGCTGACCTCATTATCACGTCACTAACGAGAATTTAGGTTCGGATACCTTTGCATGACATATGGTGACCCGTGACCCAAATGCTATTTTTAATTGAAAACACGTCTTTGCAATAATTATGAAAAACCGTGTATTTATTCAATAACAGACATTGTACCAATAACATGTTGCATTTATATTGTTTTGAGTGATGACTCATGAATTATTTGTTTGTTTTTATATAAAATCATACCATTAATAAAAATAGTGTATGGTCCGTTACTAAAAATAGATGCTAGAATTCCCCAAACTTGAAGTCCCCCGAGATTTCATTTGAAAGCAGACTCCATATTGGTAAACATTCTCTACACATTTCCCTAAAAAAAATAGTTGGGTACACAATGCCATTGAAGTTTAAATAAAAAACAAAAAACAACATGAATTGATTCAAAATTGATTTATTTATCAATTATGTTTTTTATTTGACACACATTTGATTAATAAGGGTAAGTTTAATAGGTTTTTATGTACGGCGCAAACACTGCCAAATTCTGGTAGCCTATGCAAATAGGGTTGACCAATAGCTTTAAAATAAAAGCGACATATAAAGTTATAGAAGTGTCGCCGGGCCGCTCATTCGGGGATATAATGACAACATGGGTCGACAAATTTCAATGGGTTTAATATTGTCATGGAAACATGAAAAGATACGCTCCTGTAATACATGACATGAACAAAACAATATAAATACAATGTCAAAATAGGGGATTAGCAATACATATTCATAATATCAAAGCAATGCACGACAAACATTACATATTATAGATTCAAATACACATGATTACCTGTAGATATATTTTTATATAACTACATAATGGATGTTTAATGTTTCAGCACAAAAATAGCTTGTTTACATTTTCAAAGTATGGCGGATATCACTTGATCGAATGTGATTGGTTAATATGCTCGTGCGGGAAAATCAATACGTTAGGTAGATTACAGGTATAAAAGGGATAACTATTGGTAAATGGCTAATACAGGTGTACGACTACCAGAACTAAAAACTTCCAGGTTGATAAACTATTTTATATTCACGTTGATATTGTTTACCTCTGTGCATCTATGTTATTTTATACAAAATGTTAGAATTTAGGAGTTAAGAATGTAAAATTGTATTGAACAGAAACATATAAACATTAACATAAATAATTTGTAAACTGATTCGAAAGATAAGAAAATGATTATGTCTGCCATTTGAAAGATATTTTCGATCCTTGAAGATCGTTCATCACGACATTATTGTTGTGTATACATTTTAGATTGTATTTTTAGTTTCTTGTATTTGGCCTTTTTCAACATGGTTGGTTCCAGTATTCCTTCGTGAATACTGTATAATCACCCTTAGGATATGTTGCCTGCTTTTTAAATTGGTTTTTTGACGACTTGCCTGTGATATGCAGCCTTCATAACCTCAGATCCCCTTTCAAAATTCATTTTATTTACTTCCGTCCATTGTTTTCTCGTTTAGGACACAATGAACAAGCTCAATCAAACTGAGCCTGCAACATTTTACAATTTTGCCGTGTTGGGCTTTCTTTAGGGATTATGTTTTTCTCTATTTTAACATGTTTACAAAATGAGAATAGGTATGCAAAGTCTGGTGTAAAGTTGACACATAAAAATCGCATCTTTAAAGTTTAATTCTTTGGTATGGTTTAAAGGGGAAAATATAAAAAAAATATGCTTAAACAATTTCCAAAGCAACTTTTAAAGTGATTTCAGAAACTGGTCCAAATGAGCGTTATGTCAAAACAATAAGCTAAGATAATGATATCAGCTTTGTGATATCAGTTTTAATTACAAGTGTACCTTATTAATTTATACGCCAACAAACGACTTTGACGCTGACACACATTCCCCGTAAAGAAAGTATCAAACGCTTTATTTAAGATTGTATTCTTAAATCGTATTTGCACAATTCTTATCCTCATGTAGGCTTATATTTAAAAGCACTTGTTTACATATTTTAA